TCCCACTCTGCGTGGCTGTGTCACCACAGATGGGTGGATCTCTCTGAACTCAATTTTGCCCTTTCTACAACGTGGCCAATACATATTTCATAGCATAGTTATAGGGATTATATGAAATAATGCATATAAATACCTAATGCTGAAAAGTTGCTAAATTAAAATTAGAGTCTTATTGCAAGACGGATGGCTAAAAATGGCTCTTAAGTCTCCTACCATCTTCCAAAACTGGCTCTCTCGTGACTTTTTTCCTTTATTCGTGGAAAGTCAGACTTGAGTTTGAAAGTTGGTTCTGCCATCCACTTGCTATGTAGTCTCTTTGAGCATCGGTTTCCTTCTCTGTAGTAGAGAGCTAATAGCCATCGGAATGGCTTATTGTTAGGATTAAATAAAATAGTGAACTAAATCAGGTTGGCAGGCTGAGCACGGTGGCTCATGCCTGTAATCCTAGCACTGTGGGAGGCTGAGGTGGGAGGATCACTTGAGGTCAGGACTTCGAGACCAGCCTTAGCAACATAGTGAGACCCCATCTCTACAAAAAAATTAAAAAATTAGTCTGTATCATGAATGCAGCAATCAGGTGGAGCCACGTTAAGGTGAGCAGGATGGGGCGCTGCAGGGACAGGGCTGAGCCAGCACACCCAGCACTGGGCCACCACACAGTGGGCCTTTGGACTCGGGTGATCCCTGCCTAAAAGACCCTTGGTCTGGTGGACTTTCTAATATACCAGTAGTATTCTTATTTACTTATTTATTAAGTTGGCAAATAAAAATTGTATATATTTATAGTGTGCAACATGCTGTTTTGGCATATGTCTATGTATACATTTTGGAATGGTTAAATCAAGCCGGCATACATATTAATTCACACAGCATTTTTTTTTGTGGGGAGAACACCTAAAATCTACTCTCTTAGCAATTTCTAGGTATACAATATACATTGTTATTAACTGTGGTCACTATGATGTACAATAGATCTCTTGAACTTAATCCTCCTCACTAAAACTTCCTATCCTTTGACCAACATCTTCCCATTCTCCCCTCCCCCAGCCCCTGGTAACCACCATTCTACCCCCCGCTTCTCTCAGTTTGACTTTTTTCGATTCCACATATAAGTGTCTTTCTGTGCTTGGCTTATGTCACTTAACATCACGTCCTCCAGGTTCTTCCATGTTTTCACAAATGACAGGGTTTCCTTTTCTTAAAGGTGGAATAATATGCCATTGTGCACACACACCACATTTTCTTTATCTACTCATCGTGGCTATTGTGAATAACGCTGCCCGGAACATGGCAGTGCAGATATCTCTTCTACACACTGATTTCATTCCTTTGGATATGTACCCAGTATGGGACTGCTGGATCATATGGTAGTTCTATTTTTAGTTTTTTGAGGAACCTCCATACTGTTTTCCAAGTAACATTCTTTTAAACATTTAAATCTGCAAGGAAAATGTTTCAGAAGCCTGTTGTAAGGGCTACCATGAGTCCATGGGTGCCTTCGTGTGAATTAGAAAATGTACCCCTTCCTTCTGACACTTAATCGTTATAATAAATATTCTGATTGTGTTAGAATGAGGGAGGCAGGGTTTACCCAGCAGAGGCCCTGGTACCTCCTTACCACCACCTTTGGGACCCACAGGCAGAGATGGAGTTGGTCCAGCGTATTGGGGTCCCTGCCAGTAAAGTCATCTACACCAAGCCCTGCAAGCAAATCGCACAGATCAAGTATGCTGCCAAGCATGGGATCCGGCTGCTGAGCTTTGACAACGAGATGGAGCTGGCAAAGGTGGTAAAGAGCCACCCCAGTGCTCAGTAAGCTGGAACCACTCGTGTGGGGAGGTTGGGCAGGCGGGTGAGGGTGGAGGGGGTGGATGAGTGGGACTGGGGCAGAGGACCCTGCCCTGGCCCTGGCCACAGTCTCAGGAGGTTGGGGCAGGTCCTCCTGGACTAGGCCCATGGTATTATGGAGATCAAAGTCACAGGCTTGAGAGAGCCAGAGGGAGTGGTCAGGAAAGTTTCATGGAGGAGGTCACATTTGAAGTGGTCCTTAGGAAGGAATAGAATTTGGGGGGTGGGGCATAAAGAGTGACCTGCATAAGCAAATGCAGACCCTAATAGCATGGGGTGTTCAAGGGACAAGCAGAAGTTTGGTGTGGCTGGAACATGCCATGTGAAAGGAGTGAAGGAGACAGTGAATGACACTGGTCACAGGGCAGGGACTTTGGAAGGGGTCAGGGCTGGCTTGGCTTTTACACAGTTAATGGACACCCTGCAGATTTCAGGGAGGGGCCTTGGGGTGAAAGGAAGCCAGGTGGTGGATCACTCTGGTTCACCCAAAGCAGCTTCCATCATCATATTGGGGTTCTTCCTTAAGACTGTTTAAAAATGGCTCCTCTCATACCTGAAAAGTTGAAAACTCTGACTGGTGTAGAGGCTGATTTGGAGGGATTGGAGCTGCCCAGGGGAGAGTCGGTGAGGTCTGGACCAGGACAGGGGCTGCAGGGATGGGCCCAGGGACGTTTAGGCAGTGGATTGGACAGGACTTGGAGGTTGATTGGCTGTGCAGGGAGAGGAGGGGGTCAGGGAGCCTGCGGGGTTGGCAGCTCTGAGCCATGCAGTTCATAGCCCTTGATTCAGAGAGGGCTGGTTGGCGTGGGGAGGCAGGTTTACCCAGCAGAGTTGCACTGCGTATCTCATCAGAATGGTTCTGTGCATTGCCACCGATGACTTCCACTCCCGGAGCCGCCTGAGCCTCAAGTTTGGAGCGTCACTGAAATCCTGCAGACACCTGCTGGAAAATGCCAAGAGGAGCCACGCGGAGGTGGTGGGTGTGAGGTGAGCACTGGGAACCCCTGCCATTCCCACCCACGCCAGCCCACTGCCTTTTTCCTGGGAATGAATCAGTTCTGTATGGGACCTTCCCCAGGGCCTCCAACGAGGGCCTGTCCTTGGGCCTGGAATTCTGCCATTTGAGAATTTCCTCTGTTTGGAAAGAAGGTTTAGAATGGCTCCCACCCCCATGGTCTCTAGCAGGTCTTGTCCCAGCAAGCTCTACCCAGGGCTCTGGAGTTGAGGGAGTTTTCCCAGCCTGTAGGACAAGGGCTGTGCAGCCACATCCTTGATGTGCCTCTTTTCTTACGGGGACACGGAAGAAATAATAATAATGACCTACTATATAGCTTCATTTCTTCTGTATTCAGGATGTGTCAGGCACTGTGCTAAGTGCTTCACGTACATTATCTCACTGCCTAGTGTGGCCTGGGTCTTATCCTCACATTGTAGGTGGGGAAACTAAAACAAGGCAGGCTGAGTACTTTGCTAAGGCCGCACTGCTGAGACATAACCAGGTCTGGCCAAGTTTCAGGCCCTGGTTCTCATTCCAGAAGGTTCATCTCCAGGGGCAGCGTGGAGGGATGAAAGGAGTACCAAGTACCGAGAGACCTTGGATCCAGCCTCCTGTCCCCTCCTCACTTGCCATGTGGCCTTTGAAAACCCATTTAATGTTTCAGGCTCTCCGTTACTGCATCTGTAAAATGGGCACAGTGTCCCATGTGCCTGCCCAAGGTCACTCCTGGCTGGGGCTGAGGTGGTGGCACCCAGAACCCTGCATGTAAGCTAAGGCTCTTCCTCCCTTCTCAGTTTTCACATTGGCAGTGGCTGTCCCGACCCTCAAGCCTACGCTCGGTCCATCGCAGACGCCCGGCTTGTGTTTGAAATGGGCACTGAGCTGGGCCACAGGATGCACATCCTGGACCTTGGTGGCGGCTTTCCTGGCATGGAGGGGGACAAAGTGAGATTCGAAGAGGTAAGCCTGGAGCCAGGAGTATGGCGCTCTGTGGCTGTGGGGGGTGGGGGTGGAGGGTGTGATGCTCACAGGAAGCCCACTGGGAGTGTGGCTGTGCTTGGGGCTTGCCCTGTGCTACGCTACGCTGAGCAGGCGAGGCTCAGAGGTTACAGCACCTCCTGAGTCCACAGCAGGGCTGGCCACACACCTGGCTCTACTTGAGGCTCAACCAGGATATATTTGCATAAGTCATAAAGCCCTTTAAGGGTCTGGGTATGTCTATTCCCAGACAGGAAATCAGGTGAGGAGGCAGGGGAAGGAAAAATGAATTTCGGTCCACTCCCAGCTCAGTTCTTTCTCTCCCATTCTGTCTCCTTCCCACCTGAGAGTTGAAGTCAAGAAAAATGTGTCCCAGCAATTTCTATTCAAACCACTAGAGGTCGCTTCCCCTTAGAAAGAACCTCCTTCTGGAATATTCATACCCAGGAATTGACCCTAATGAAATTTGGATGGACATGAAGAATTCGCCTCAAAGATAACTGTTGCCACTTTGTTCATAACAGAAGTCCAGTGACTTCCCTGGTCCACATAATACTCAGGATTGGTTAAATTATGATTCATTCTTGTGATGGTAACATTTATTTACGTGGGGAGGTCATTCACAATCTATTGATTAAAACAGGCTATAAAAACATACATAGAGACTTATTGTGTTTATAATAAAAAATAGTGTTTGTATAAAAATAATTAAAGGAGCTACTCCAAAGAGTTAACAATGATTAGGTTCATCTGGGTGATAAAATTAGGGGTCACTTTCATCTTATTTTCCTTTTCTATATTTTCCGAAGTTTCTGTAACCAAATATATTACAATTGACTCTTGAACAATGTGGGGCTTAGGGGTACCCACCCCCAGTACAGTCAAAAATCTGTGTATAACTTTTGACTCCCCCAAGACTTGACTACGAATAGCCCAGTGTTGACTGGAAGCGTACTGACAACATAAACAGTTGGTTAACACATATTTTGATGTTATTTGTATTATATACTGTATTCTCACAATAAAGTAAACTAGAGAAAAGAAAATATTAATATTAGGAAAATCATAAGGAAAATATATTTACAGTTCATTTAGTGGAAGTGGATCATCATGAAGGTCTTCATCCTCATCGTCTTAACGCTGAGTAGGCGGAGGAGGAGGAGCAGGAGGAGGGGTTGATCTTGCTGTCTCAGGCTTGGCAGAACTGGAAGAAAATCTGTGTATAAGTGGACCCACACAGTTCAAGCTTGTGTTGTTCAAGGGTCAGTTGTATTTAACAAATTGGCTATCTATGAAAGAAAGATCCACATCAGGGCTTCTGCAATCTGAGTACCAAGTGTGAGATGAAGTGTGTCTCTTCCCATTGTGGGAGCAACGTACAGAAGCATGAGGGTCTCGACCCAGCTCTGCCTCCCTCCTACCTTCTTGGTCAGTGGTTTGCAGTTACCAGCTGTGGCCTTAGCAGCTGCCAAGTCCTTCTTCCTGAAATCAAAGAAGCTTTCAAGATAGATTTGGAGCTGTAGCGAGTCTTTAGCATAACCCCCACATTTCAAACACATGACCGTCCCCCACTCCACTCCCACCAGATTGCTTCTGTGATCAACTCAGCCTTGGACCTGTACTTCCCAGAGGGCTGTGGCGTGGACATCCTTGCTGAGCTGGGTCGCTACTACGTGACCTCGGCCTTCACTGTGGCAGTCGGCATCGTAGCCAAGAAGGAGGTTCTTCTGGACCAGCCCGGCAGGGAGGGTAGGTGCCAGATGGGCAGCAGAGCCCCATTCTCCCCTGAAGCTGGGGACATTTGCTGGCCAAGCAGCGTCTGGTTTTAGACTCAGTGGCAGGGGGTGAGGGAATCTGGAGAATGGGTCTTTGCTTTAGGGAAACTTACAATCAAATCCCCTCACCCCAAGACACTTATTTAGAATCTCCTTTCCTAGGTGTGTTCATATTTTGTGATGATTGAGATCAAAACAACCTTAGGGAGAATAGATACTTTATTGATCCCATTTTACGGATGAAGAAACTGAAAGCCAAAGAGAATACAAGTGAATTGCCTAATAGCTAGTAAGAGGTAAAGCCTGCATTTGACCCCATGTCTGTCTCCAAAATACAGGCTCTTACTCACCTTACTGCTTCTCATAATGTAATGAAAATAATTAATGACAACTAATGGTTGTTTAAGTCTACTCTATAGATGACAGAACACAGGCAGGGAGAGGTTGAGTCACTAGCCCAGGGTCACGCAGCTGACAAGGGGCAGTGCTGGGACTCAAGTTCATGTCGGGCTGACTTGGTTCAGAGCTCCTGGGCCCACATTGCTAACATCAAAGCTCTCCCGTGCCCTTCCAGATAGATCAGTCTTCCCAGCGTCCCTGTGAATAAGAGGGGTGAGGGATTTTGATCTTGGGGCTTTGCTTTCTGCCCTGGGACCCTCAGACAGGAGGGCCTCAGGACTGTGTGCCCCTCTTCAGAGAGAATTCATGTGGAGGGGTGGCGGGCTCCAGGAAGAATGTCCTGTGTGCGTGCGTGCGTGCGTCCGTGTGTAGGAGATGGCATTCTTCTGGCTTCCTCTATAGACCTGGGGGTTGTCCCATCTAGTCCAACCAGGAGACCCAACTTCTCATTCCCGCTCCTCCACTGCCCTATCGTGTGCCTCTGAGCGAGTGGCTTAACCTCTTGGGGTCTCAAGTTTGGGTGGGCTGCTCTTCTGCCTTTGCTGGGACATCTAGGGGCTCAGATGCAGGCAGGGGAATGTGTTCTGTGCATGGTTGCTCAGTGGCAAGGGGGAGTGTTCCCAACACAGCAGTGAACCATATCACCAGGAGAATGGCTATTGGTGGCTCCTGTTGCAGGGCCCATTCCACGGCTGAGGAAGGGGCAGCCCTATTGCTTCATAGACCTGTCATCCTTGCTGAGCCTACCGTCACGCCAGCTCCCCACTATCACCCCCTCACACTGCTGCTTGTGCTGCCCTGACCCCTCCCCTCCCTGCAGAGGAAAACGGTTCCGCCCCCAAGACCATCGTGTACCACCTTGATGAGGGCGTGTATGGGATCTTCAACTCAGTCCTGTTTGACAACATCTGCCCTACCCCCATCCTGCAGAAGGTGAGCCTACCCCATGTGGGCCTGTTTTCGATTGTGTATGTTTTTTTCAATAACATTTGTTGTGTTTTTATTAAATTTTTAAACAGCAAAACACATTCATTGTAGAAAATAGACAAGGATGAAGAAGGTTACCTCCCATAATCCCACCACACAGAGATAGACTCTGTGAACATTATATTTATTTTCATTCTTTTAAAAATGTATTATTCTTTTTTTCATAAAGTTGGAAACATATTCTTTTATAACCTGCTTTTTTCATTTATATGGGGGGGGTAGCTATTTCCGTGCTATGAACTAATTTTTGAAAAGATGCTTTTTTTTTTTGAAAACATGCTTTTTGATGACTACATAGTATTTTAACCAATCTAACTCTAGCGGTTGGCCATTTGGTTTCCTGTTTTTGAGCACTGTGAATATATGTTGACATACATCTCTGATTACTGTCTGGGGTAAATTCCTAGAAGTAAAAATAAACAGTTCATGTGTAATGGGTTTTCGACATTAACAGGGGAGTAGGAATGGACAAAACATTCCTCTTAGGTGGTGGAGCCTGGCCTAGGGCCTCCAGCGGTGTTAAAGGGCATCTTTAAGAGGAGAAAGAAAACGAGACACACCATTATATTTTCCCATCTCTAGACCTTCGTTTGTGTGGCTCTTCCTGGAAGGAAACTTTCCGGAAAGTGGCTGGCCAGCACCTAGACCCTTGTGAGTGCTCAGTATGTTTTCCCTGCCTCCCCATACCACCCAGCGTCCAAGAGCGGATCAGATGGGTCTGGAAAGTCACCTCCTCTTTGTGGCTCTCCCTGCCGCCTACCCCACTGCAGGCAGAGGGAACCCTCCCCGCCCCAGGTGCCCAGGCGCGGTGGACCTGCGTGAAGGCCTCATTCCACAGTGAAGTATGGTTACATCCACTGGGCTGAGTAAACTTCCCTCATGTGCTGAAGAGTTCAGAGTTTTCTACTCTGACACACAGCATTGCCTGCATTCTTGTGGTAGCCCACATCCTACTACACGGAGAAGGGACCAGGCTGGCCTGTGCCAGCCAAGCCCAGGTTACAGAGCAGGCAGCAGCTGCTTCCCAGTTCCTCCTCCTCTTCCCGTTGCATGCCAGGTCTCGTCCACTCTCCATTCCCTTGTGGCTCCTCAGAAGAGCAGGACTATGGGCCCAGCCCACTACCATACCCCCTCCACCCCCAGGATCTCTACTTTGACTTATCTCGAGTTGGCATTCCTGACTTGGGCACCAGCATGTTACGGACTCTCTCTGTGGTCTGTGCTGTTCCTCCTTTGGATGATGCCGTGGTTTCTTCCTTTAGGCTGTCAATCACTTTCTGAGTCTGGCCACATAAGTGGGTCCAGGGTGGGGCCCACAGTCTGGTGGTGGAGACAGACATTGCGTAGATGACAACGTACATAATAAGTTAGTTCCAGTTGTGCTGGGAGTGTGTGGCATGGCTGGGGGTATCTGCACCTTCTATCCCAAGGAAGGTCCCCCTCACAAGTGGTTATGTTAGCTTTGCATCCCTGCTCTTCCCTCCCAGGGACTTTGTTTTTAGACCTCAGGTATCACAAATTGTACTAAATGTAATCCTTGGCTCAAGATATACTTCTTATCATTGTGCCACACTTGGCCCCTTCTTGTTTGTATTTTTTTTAATTCAACAAATATTTGAGCACCCACAATATAGGAAGCACCATGCCGAGGCCTGCAGAGGATAGTAGGTGAGTAAGAATTACCTGTGCTTTGGAGATACAGTACTGGTGGAGAGAAACGTGTGTGTGTGTAT